AGAAAAAGCAAAATCATAAACATAGAAATAAGGTCGCAAAAGTTCAATAGCCAAAACAGAGTTTTAAATGCAAAGGCAGAGTTTCCAAGGTCCAAAGGCAAATAACATGAAGTATAATCCACAAGCACTGGTCAAACAAGAATCCATGGCAGCATGATTTGAATGCAATATTCCTTCTTCTTGGCAGGGGGTTGGACTGGATGGCCCACGAGGTCTCTTCCAACTCTTTGATTCTATGATTCTATGATTCTATGACAAAGTCCCCAGAAACCAAGATCAAAACCAAAGTCCCAAAGAGCCAAAACCTTTCCCCAAAAGCAATTCCAGAGAAGTTAACAAGGCGTAAGCAGAGTTGCACTGACAAGGGGTTGACTTCAATCAGATTGCTAAATATTAGGGCTGGGCAACCACGGAAAAAATTGTTTCTAAACTCGATTCGTTTTTTTGGGGTTTTTTGCGTTTCAATATTTAAAAGAATTCCGAAATTTTTCTTTAAAAAGTTCGATATTTACGAAATTTCGTAAAATTACGAAACAATACGAAACGAATACGAAATGAATACGAATCGATTCGTTAATGGCGGACGCGACCACGCAATACGCTAAAAAATCTCCATATGGGACAGGGGGAACTTCTGAAGCTTCCCTCTCCCTCTGTTGTTGACTGTTGGTGTGATATTTATAATTTTTTTTCACTGATTAAACAAACAACAGCTATAAAACTTGCCCCAGACATGTGGAAATAATAACGAAACGATTTCGAAACGAATACGAAACGAATACGAAGCAATTACGAAACGAATTGAAAAATTCGTTTCGTTTTTTAGATGCTCCTGAATGGTTCGTTATCGCTTCGTAACAAAAAAAAATAACGAATTTTTAACGAATTACGAAATTACGAAACGAAACCGCCCAGCCCTACTAAATATGCTTTCCCAGCATGAAAGCATTACGTTGACCTCAAACTTCCCGTTTGTTAGCAAGCCGAGCACTTCGGCGTACCCTTAATTGCAAACCGTCCTCCCCAACTAAGTCCCCATCACCCTCAAGGCCGAATAAGTCATTATCCTGGGACTGGTCAGCCTGGGAATCGACACGCACTGAGCTCACAGATGGAGAGATCGACTGCTCCACCTGCAGCTGTGAAGTTTCACACAAATCATGACCATCTTCTAAAACAACATTCCTTTCACTGGGAAACGGAAATGCCGCCTTGTCTTCAGTATCAACGCTGTCTGCCTCAACAACAGGGACATGTTCAGAAATCTGTAACCCATCATCCTCTTCGTCCTGAGGAAACTCAGGCTCAGAAAGCTCAGGCTCAGACTGAGCCACAACAAGGGCTTCCTCTGGCCCCTCCCTGGGCCTCTCTCCAAGGTGCTGAAGCCACCTTCCCCAGCAGGTTGCACTCCTTTCAAGTCCAGGCCAAAGGAGCTACATACAGATCACAGCATGGAAACAGGACTCTTTGAGATGACAACATACCACCTAATCAGATTGAGACATTTCCCCCTCGTAGAATACTTCAGCCATTATCCAGGCGTGGGGAGGCACGGAGCTCATCACATGAGTTAAACTAGTTCCAGACATCATGCATAGCCCTCCATGGCTGACAAGAGGCAGAAGTGTCCTGAAAGGAGGGAACTCCAGCAATCAACCTCATCACATTGAGACATTTCCCAATCGTAGGACACTTCAGCCTCTTTTCTTCAGAGCTCATCACATCTTCCATGGCTGGAAAAAGCCTGGCTGTTGCTGCCTAGGGGAATCCTTTGTTGGAAGGTGTTATCTGGCCCTGGATGTTTCCTGTCTGGAATTCCCATGTTTTCTGAGTGTTGCTCTTTATTTACTGCCCTGATTTAGAGTTGTTTTTTTTTTAAATATATATACTGTTAGCCAGATTTTGTTCATTTCCATGGTTTCCTTATTTCTGTTGGAATTGTCTCCACGTTTCTTGTGGATTTTCTCTGTGTAGTCTGACATAAGGTCTAGAATTTCTGTGTTCTCAAATCATATGCTCTAAAATCAGGACAGTAAATAAAGAGAAACACTCAAAAAGTAGGGGAATTCCAGCCTGTAAACAATCAGGGTCAGCTAATATCTCCCAAAAAAGAAACCCTCAGGCAGGAAGCAGCAAAGCCATTCCATGGTAATACAACGTAGCCAATTGCAACATTCACTCTTACTTCCAACAGACAGGAATTCTTTCTCCCACCCTGAGCATTCCACAAATATATAAACCTCACTTGCCTAGTTTCCAGCAGACCTCACAACCTTTAAGGATGCATGCCATAGATGTGGGTGAAATGTCAGGAGAGAATGCTTCTGAAACATGGCCATACAGTCTGGAAAACTCACAGCAACCCAGTCCTGTTCCTTCTTTTTGTCCAGGAAGCATGAAATTCAGCCCCCAAAATAGGAAGGAGGGGAAAGGTAAGATTCAGGGGTCAAGGGACACCCACAGTTGAAAAGAAAAGGGTCAGAACTTTGTGCTCAATGGACGTTTATAGAATCATAGAATCACAGAATCTTAGAGTTGGAAGAGACCTGGAGCGCCATTCATTCAGTCCAACCCCATTCTGCTAAGAAGTAGGAAAATTGCTTTCAAAGCACCCCCAATAGGTGACCATCCAGCCTGTGATTAAAAGCCTCCAAAGAAGGAGTCTCTTCCACACTATGGGGCAGAGAGTTCCACTGCTGAACAGCTCTCTCTCACAGTCAGGACGTTTTTCCTCATGTTCAGGTGGAATCTCCTTTCCTGTCATTTGGAGCCATTCCTCTGTGTCCTAGTCTCCAGGGCATCAGAAACAAGCCTATTCCTTCCTCCCTGACTTCCCCTCACATATTTATACATGGCCATCGTGTCTCCTCTCAGCCTTCTCTTCTGCAGGCTAAACATGCCCAGCTCTTTCAGCCGCTCCTCCTGAAGCTTGTTCTCCAGACCCTTGATCATTTGAGTCACCCTCCTCTGGACATATTCCAGCTTGTCAACATCTCTCTTCAATTGTGGTGCCCAGAATTGGACACAATATTCCAGGTGTGGTCTAACCAAGGCAGAATAGAGCATGGGGAGCATGACTCCCCTGGACCTAGGCACTAGGCTCCTCTTGATGCAGGCCAAAATCCCATTGGCTTTTTTTGCCGCTGTATAACATTCCTGGCTCATGTTCCCCTTCCTCCCCACAAGAACTCCCAATATCTTTTTCACACGTACTGCTCTCGAGCCAGGCATTGACCCCCATTCTGTCTCTTTGCCTTTCCTTTTTTCTGCCTAAGTGGAGTATCTTCTTTATATGTGTATAGACCAGAAAACTCACTGCAACCCAGTGAATTGTCTTGGCCTTCCTTTTGAGAGCTTTTTGCTCTCCAAGGTTTGAGAGCATGTGACTTCTTGCTCTGCCTTGGCCTGCCATGTACAACCCATGAACAAGGGCAACATGTACATAGAATCATAGGTAAAGGTAAAAGTTTCCCCTTGACATTAAGTCTAGTCGTCTCCGGGGGTGGTGCTCGTCTTCATTTCTAAGCCAAAGAGCTGGCGTTGTCTGTAGACGTCTCCTAGGTCATACAGTTGGCATGACTGAATGGAGTGCCGTTACCTTCCTATCGGAGTGATACCTATTAATCTACTCCTATTTGCATGTTTTCGAACTGCTAGACTGGCAGAAGCTGGGCCTAACAGTGGGAGCTCACCCTGCTCCCTGGATTTGAATTGCTGACCTTTTGGTCAGCAAGTTCAACAGCTTGGCAGTTTAACCCACTGTGCCAGGGGAGGCTCCATAGAATGATAGAATCCTAGACTTAGAAGAGTCCTGATGGGCCATCCAGTCTAACCCTATTCTGCCAAGAAGCAGTAAAATCGCATACAAAGCACCCCCGACAGATGGCCATCCAGCCTCTGTCTCAAAGCCTCCAAAGAAGGAGCTTCCATCACACTCCCTCCAGGACGGAGAGTTCCACTGCTGAACAGATCTCTCTCACAGTCAGGAAGTTCTTTCTCATGTTCAAGTGGAATCTCCTTTCTTTCCTGTCGTTTGAAACCATTGTTCTACATTCAGTCAGAATATCACTTGTCAGCTGCAAAAGGCCACCCTACTCTGATCGGCTTGTAAACAGAGGCTGGGTGGCTATGTCTCCAGAGGGCTTTGGATTGTGCTTTTCCTGCCTTGCAGAAAGGGGTTGGACTAGGTGGCCCAGGTGGTCTATGATTCTATGATCCAACTGGAGAACAAGCCCTATGAGGAGTGGCTTAAAGAGCTGGGCATGTTTAGCCTGAAGAAGAGAGGGCTGAGAAGGGACATGATAGTCAGATATAAATACGTGAGAGGAAGTCATAGAGAGGAAGGAGCAAGCTTGTTTTCTGCTGCCCTGGAGACTACAAACTACAAGGAAGGAGATTCTATCTGAACATTAGGAAGAACTTCCTGACTGAGAATCATAGAGTTCGAAGAGACCTGGTGGGCCGTCCAGTCCAACCCCCTGCCAAGAGGGGTTGGACTGGGGTATGGATTATAAACATGAACTTCCTCTCAGGCAGCAGATAACAGGCTCCTTCTTTGGAAGCTTTGAAACAGAGGCTGGATGGCCATCTGTCAGGGGTGCTTTGAATGCAATATTCCTGCTTCTTGGCAGGGGGTTGGACTGGATGGCACAGGAGGTCTCTTCCAACTCTATGATTCTATGATTCTATGCCAAGAAGCAGGAAAATCACATTCAAATCAGCCCGGACAGATGGCCATCCAGTCTCTGTTTATGCACACATGCCTCTCCTTGGGCAACAACCTTGAGATGAATGAATACAAGCCTGGGACCTTTGGGGATGGATCAGGATGAGTCCGAAGACGGACTGGGGGGGGGGGGGGGGGGGAGGGAAGAATCAGGATGAGTCCGAAGTCTGAGAGGGGGGGGGGGGGGGAGAAGGAGGAGTGGGCGGAGCTTAGGCCCCTCCCTTGGGCGAGCCTTTGGCCACGCCCCTCCCTCCCTCCCCCACCTACTCCCCCTCCCTCCCTTCGAAGGAGCATCTCCCTCCTTCCCTCTTTCCCAACTTGACCAAGGAAGGAGAAGGAGGCGCTGCTTTGGCTGGGGCTGCGTCTCTGCTTCTCGTCGTTGAGGAGGAAGAAGAAGAGGAGAAGAAGAGGAGGAGGAGGGAGGGGAAGCACTCCTCCCCCGCGCCCCCTTTTTTTGCCCCGCCTTTCTGCATCAGGAGGGATGGGCGAGGGGCTGTGAGCCCTGCTCTTCCTCCTCCTCTTCTTCTTCTTCCTCCTCCTCCTCTTCTTCCTCTTTCCTCTCTCTTCGACGCCGGAGGAGAAAGAGGAGGAGGATGCTGCCGGGGGGGCTGCCGTGGAGGAGGACGACGGCGCTTCCTCCTCCTCCTCCTCTTTGTCATTCTCCTCCTTCTTCTCTTCCTTCTCCTCCGCCTGGAAGGAGCTGAAGCCTTTGCCGGAGAGGAAGAGGACCCAAAGAAGGCGGGCTGGGGGAAGAGGACAAGAGACCCAAGGGCCGGCCATGAGCGCCCCCCTTGCCTCCGCTGCCGGCGTCCCCTGCCTCTTCTTCTTCTCCTTCTCCTCCTTCTTCTTCCTCGGTGAGTGAGTCAGTCGCTCTCTTTGGCTGGGGTTAGGAATACATAGAGACATCCTCATCAGAGGATCGAACTGCAAAGACAAGCCACTCAAGAGGGTGACGGTAGTGGTGGGCATACTGGGTGCAGTGCCTCAAGACCTTGGCCACCACTTAACAACATCGGCGCTGACCAAATTACCATCTGCGGCTGTCAGTCTCTCTCTTGGCGGGTCCAAGCTGGGGTTAGGAATACATAGATGCGTCCTCGTCAGAGGATCGAACTGCAAAGACAAGCCACTCAAGAGGGTGACAGTAGTGGTGGGCATACTGGGTGCAGTGCCTCAAGACCTCGGCCAGCACTTAACAACATCGGTGCTGACCAAATCACCATCTGTGGGCTACAAAAAAGCCACCCGACTCTATTCGCAGAGATTCATCATTCAGGCATGGCCAAAGCTCGGCCCTCCAGGTGTTTTGGACTCCAACTCCCACAATTCCTAACAGCCGGTAAGCTGTTAGGAATTGTGGGAGGTGGAGGCCAAAACACCTGGAGGGCCCTCTTTGGCTGGGGTTAGGAATACATAGAGACATCCTCATCAGAGGATCGAACTGCAAAGACAAGCCACTCAAGAGGGTGACGGTAGTGGTGGGCATACTGGGTGCAGTGCCTCAAGACCTTGGCCAGCACTTAACAACATCGGCGCTGACCAAATCACCATCTGTGGGCTACAAAAAAGCCACCCGACTCTATTCGCAGAGATTCATCATTCAGGCATGGCCAAAGCTCGGCCCTCCAGGTGTTTTGGACTCCAACTCCCACAATTCCTAACAGCCGGTAGGCTGTTAGGAATTGTGGGAGTTGGAGTCCAAAACACCTGGAGGGCCCAAGTTTGCCTAGTCACTTGGGGTCCAATACAAAAGTCGACAGAATGATCTTCTTTGCTGTGTCCTACTCTTGTTGTGTCTCACATAACAATAACCACAATAGTAATGGGTTGCTGTGAGTTTTCCAGGCTGTCTGGCCATGTTCCAGAAGCATTCTCTCCTGACGTTTCACCTGCATCTATCCTCAGAGCTTGGTTGGAATGTCCAGGGTGGGAGAAAGAACTCTTGTCTGTTGGAGGCGTGTGAATGTTGCAACAACAACAACAATTTTTATTGATTAGCCAGTTGGCCTTATCGAAAACAGACACTGCAGAAACAACATACAACATACATCTTAAAATAAAATGCAAATATACAGGTAGACATACATATAAACATCAATTGGCCACCTTGATTAACATCGAATGGCCTTGCAGCTTCAAAGCCTGACTGGTTGATGCCTGGGGGAATCCTTTGTTGGGAGGTGATTGTTTTCTGTCTGAAATTCCCTGTTTTTTAAGTGTTTTCTTTATTTACTGTATTGATTTTAGAGTTTTTTTTAAATACTGGGAGCTAGATTTTGTTCATTTTCTCGTTTCTGCTGAGATTGTCCAAATTTTTTGGGGGGATTTCAATGGCTTCTCTGTGTCGTCTGATAAGGTGGTTGTTAGAGTGGTCCAGCATTTCTGCCTTCTCAAATCATATGCTGTGTCCAGATTGGAAACAATCAGGGGCAGCTAACACCTCCTAACAAAGGATTCCCCCGGGCAGGAAGCAGCCAGGCTTTGAAGCTGCAAGGCCATTCAATGCTAATCAAGGTTTCCAATTGCAACATTCACACTTGCCTCCAACAGACAGGAGTTCTTTCTCCCACCCTGGACATCATTCCACAGATATATAAACTCTACTTGCCTAGTTGCCAACAGATCTCACAACCTCTGAGGATGCCATAGATGTGGGTGAAACGTCAGGAGAGAATGCTTCTGGACATGGCCAGACAGCCTGGAAAACTCACAGCAACCCAGTGATTCTGGTCATGATTAACAATAACAACAACAACAACAACAACAAGAATAATATCAGGAGGGAGGGGATTTCCCCTGTTGTTTCGCTAAGAGAAATGGCGCCCTCTTCAGGGCGGGGAGAGGACTGCAGCGTTATTATTTATTTACTAGCTTGGGTTACTCAGGTTATTTGCAAAAGGCATTGCTTGTTTTGCGGTATGAGGTCATATCATTTAGTTAATTAGTGACACTATCCATTAGGAAAAAGTCAGAATGTGATTTCCTTTTTTAAAATGAATGCTATCATTAGAAAAGATATCACAATGTGGATGAACTACAATTCCCAGAATCATGGGTCAGTCCACCCCGAATGAGGCCTTTTTGCATAGTTTTCCATGTTGGGTTTGTGTCCCAAGTGTGATCCAGATCTGTTGTCGGCCAGGTTCAGTGCTCTCTGGATAAGGGTGGACTACAACTCCCACTACCATTAGAAAAGATATCACAATGTGGATGAACTATAATTCCCAGAACCGTGGGACAATCCACCCTGAACCAGACCTGTATGCATAGTTGGCCATATTTGGTCTGTGTGCCAAGTGTGGTCCATTTCTATCGTTGGTGGGGTTCAGAATGCTCTCTGGTTGTAAGTGATCCATAAATCCCAACAACTACAACTCCCAAAGGTCAAGGTCTATTTTCCCCAAACTCCACCAGTGTTCACATTTGGGCATGTTGAGTATTCATGCCAAGTTTGGTCCAGATCTATCATTATTTGAGTCCACAGTGCTTTCTGGATAAGGGTGAACTACAACTCCCAGATTCCCAGAGCAATCACCCCTAAACTGTGCCAGCATTTACAGTTAGCCATGTTTTGTCTGTGTGCTGAGTTTGGTCCAGACATGTCATCAGTTGGGTCGAGTGCTCTCGGGATGCAAGTGGACTACATCTCCCAAAATCAAGGTCATTTTCCCCAAACCCCTGCAGTATGTTCAGTTGATCATGGGGCTTATCTGTGCCAAGTTTGGTCCCGGATCTCTCCAGTCTGTTCAGTCTGTGTTTGCTGTGTTTGCTAGGAAAGGGTAGTAAAGGGTTAAGGGAGAAGGCGTGGGCGGGATCATGCAAATTCCACACATTGAACCCTGGGATGCCTACCTGTGGTGGAGGAAACATGTGCAATCTAGGATTAAATTCTCCCCAAATGAAAGCATTCCTTGGGTGCTGGGGTGTAGTATTTGGGGAGGACACTGGCAGTGTTTGGGAGACATGTTCATGTTGCTCGTTGTAACCTGCAATGTCAGTGGAGTGAGTACCTTTGGAGGCTTTTCAGCACTTGGAACTATCGCCTGCTTATGGAGGTGGGAGGCTGTGTGTGTAAGTGGACACCTCTGCCACATACACATTTTTCACTTTTATTATTATGTGTATAGATTTATTTATTTATTTATTTATTATATATTATTATTTTGGGCCTGTGGTGGTGCAGCGGATTAAACCGCTGAGCTACTGAACTTGCTCACCCGCTCCCAGGATTCGAACCACCAACCTTTCAGTCAGCAAGTTCAGCAGCTCAGTGATTTAATCCGTTGCACCACCAGGGGGCCCCAACTTAAAATATACAATAATAAAACAGTATTACCATTATATATGATCAGTAGTAATTCTATTTAATATATTAGTATTGCTATGTTACATTATTATTAATGTATATAGTTATATTGTATTATTATTAGTATAACGTTGTATTACATTGTAATATTATCCATATTCTATGGTTATACAATAATACATAGCACAATATGAGTGTTATAGATTGCTATATGGTACTATGCCACTATACTGCAATATTATTAGTAATATTACATGCAATATATAATATACAATTATTATATTGTTATATTGTATTATTATTAGTATTATATTGAATTACATAATATTATTATCAATATTATATATATATAATGTATTATATTATTAGCATAGCACAATTATGGTATTATATATTATCATTTTGTACTATACTACTATACCTCAATATTATTAGTAATATTACATGCAATATATATGTATTGTCGTGTCAGGAGCATCCTGTTGTGAGAGAATTGGCCGTCTGCAAGGACGTTGCCCAGGGGACGCCGGATGATTTTTGATGTTTTATCATCCTTGTGGGAGGCTTCTCTCATGTCCCCGCATGAGGAGCTGGAGCTGATAGAGGGAGCTCATCCGCCTCTCCCCGGATTCGAACCTGCGACCTGTCGGTTTTCAGTCCTGCCGGCACAGGGGTTTAACCCACTGCGCCACCGGGGACTCCTTAATATATAATATACAATTATTATATTATTATATTGTATTATTATTAGTATTATATTGTATTACATTATAATACTGTTATCAATATTATATGTATGTACAATATATTATATTATTAGCATAGCACAATTGTAGTATTATATATTACCATATTGTACTATACCACTATACCTCAATATTATTAGTAAAATTACAAGTAATATATAATATTCCATTGTTCTATTATATTATTATAATATGTACTATATTATTCTACCAGAATATATGTAATATACTATCAGTATATTATATGATATATGATATATTATATTATGATTATTATATTATTATACTATTAGCTTGTTGGTTGGCTCCGTGCAGTGGCATGCTCCATCCCTTCCTTTGTACTCCCTTTTGTGCTCTTTCCCCCTCTCCATGGGACCCTCTTTCCCTGCCCTTTCCCTTCTTTCTGCCCCTAGTTTTGTGAGGACCAGACTCCCTGTTTCAGAGTCTCCCTCCCTTTTGGCCTGAGGCTTCCTCTGGCAAGTCCTCCTCTTCCTCTTCCTCCTCCTCTTCTTCGGCAGCCAAGTCTGGGGGCAATGGTGTAGGCAGCCCCCTCCTACTCTCCTCAGTAAACCTCCAAACCTTCCTTCCTCCACACACCTTCCTTCCTTCCTTCCTTCCTTCCTTCCTTCCTTCCTTCCTTCCTTCCTTCCTTCCTTCCTTCCTTCCTTCCTTCCTTCCTTCCTTCCACTGGGATAGTTCTCAATGGGGCTCTAGGTGCATGGCAAACCCCAGCTGCATGGTCTCAGCCTTGCAAGGGCAGCTACAGAACAGATATGGGAAAGAGGACCCAGGCTAGAACTTG